AAAATACTTAACCTGCTTACCGGCTGACCTGTTGATTAGCTCCAAAAGACTTAAGCAGTCACTGTTCTGTCTGCCTGCCCCAGTGAACTTGGAGAGACACACACACAGACACCTCTTGGCATTAGCTAGCATACCACATGCTGGCTACGGTCTCTGCTGTGGCAGAGAGGAGGAAGGGATCTTTGCTTAAGCAGTGAGTGATGAGAGGGCAGGGAGAGGGGGGAACAGGGAAGCAAGCAGATCCTTCTGTGCCTGCAAGTCTGTGTTGAGCTCCAGCCAGGGAGCAGAGGGGAGGGGTCAGCCCTGCTGTGGAGCAGAGAGCATACCAGGATGCTGGGGGACTCTAATTTAACTTAGGCCAGCAAGGGGTCTGGGACAGACATTGCATAAACTGGTTTGAAGCAAATCAGTTAATGTATGATTCTACATTCAACCAGGTTTACCGCAAACCAGTTTCAGCTATTTTCAAACTGGTTTATGTTCACTGAACGTCTGTTCTATTACAGGTTTAAACCAGTTTCTGATCACTTAAACTGGTTTATGTGTAATGTCTGTCCCTAGCCTGGAAGAGTAAAATTTGAAGAAACTAATTTGGGTGCACAGAAATTTCAAACTGTATTAGCAACATTCTTAATTTTGATCTCTCATCTCAGGGCAAATTCATTTATAAAAAGTTAAATCCAGCTGCAAGTAATATTTTTGGGGTTGTCTCTTAGTTCGGGAGGTATAGTATGCTTTTATCAGTCCCTCAGAGCTTGTTTTGAGGCTGATAACTCTTCAGCTTCTCCTTTTTCATAAGTTTGTAAGAGAGCAGGAAGAAGAAGCAAATTGCAAATAATTGCATCCTGCAGTGATGGAGTTATCTCCATAAAAATATGATTAGATTCCTAGGAATTAATGTTGCTCTCTGATCTTCTTGTGCTTCCCTGCCAGCAAAGAAATTACATCAGATAAAGGCTCCCAAGTCACCACCCACCCAATTCTGTGAAGGGTCCCAGCTTGGTTTCTCTGTGGGATAATGATTTTAAAGCCTGAAATTAGCAGCAGCCATATAAAAACCAAAAATTGACACAATAGCATTGTCTAAGGGGGTCGTCTCTGTCCACTGTATTGTACCTTATGTGGTCACTTACCTGTACATTTTCAAAATGTACCGCAACTATAGGCCCGTCAGTCTTACCTCAATCCTGGGGAAACTCTTTGAGAAGATCATCAAAGAGCACATTTGTGATGGGCCGGCATCAGAAATGATGCTCAGGGGCAATCAGCATGGATTTATTAGGGGAGATCATGTCAGACCAACCTGATTGCCTTTTACGATCAGGTCACAAAGGCCATGGATGCAGGTGTCACGGTGGATGTAGTCTTTCTGGACTTCAGCAAGGCCTTTGACACCGTCTCTCACCCCATCCTAGTTAAAAAACTAGGCGACTGTGGCATCGATGCCTACACAGTCAGATGGATTGCAGATTGGCTGAGGGGTCGCACTCAGAGGGT